CCGTTTTCTAAAGCAGGACTTGGCAGGCGCATTATATGGTCTGTTTTACCCGCAGATGTTTGACACCGCTGTCGGGGTGATCTTGCTTCGGTTAGGGCTTTTGTGGTCGACTTCCAAGGCCTCTAGAGTTCCCAGATAAGTCTGTGTAAACTTAACGAGCTGCGAATTGTCCACTTTGCTGCCTTTTTAATCTTAACTTGGATTTGGGTTGTTAAGGGATATTTTAGAGAAATCTTAGGAGAATTTGATTTTATTGTAATCGTTTTCCAAAATGGCTTGAAGCGGCTTTGAAGCAAAAAAAAAAAGTATATGTGCAGTATGTATTTTATTTATATATATATATATATATATATATATATATATATATATATGTCAAACCGGGCCATTTGAGTTTATATAATTAAAGAACAAATTTCAAGGAGTGAAATCTGCATTTATTGTTTGACATACTCCCCTGCTATATTTATACACTTATCCCAGAGTTCAATGCCTGGAAAGCTTCGGCATAGAAAAATTTGCCAGTACACCTGAACCATCCCAGGACAGCCGGCTTCACTTCGTCATTATTGTGTTCACCGTTCCCATACAAAGATTCGACTCTTGTGCAATTTCAAGACAGGTGATGCATCGATTATCCAGGTTCAGGTGTTCCATACGTTGAATGTTCACAGGAACGACTGCTGTGGGCTGGAAACCACCATGGCTGGGATCGTCACTGATGGACGTACGGCCAGTTTGAAACATTTACACCATTGAAATGTCTTACTGCGCCTGAGCATCTCGTTGCTGTACTGTGCTTGAAATCTTCTGTAGATATCCGCGGGTTTTACGCCTTTGTTCGCAAGAAACTTTGTCACCACGCACTTACACTGTTGTTTGCCATCTTGATTAACAGTCTCTGGACTGGCCCGTGACATGTGCGCTGCCCATCAGTAATAGGACACATTTGCCACTTACTACTGTTTGTAGTACCGCCATGTTAGCATCTGGTTTTTATACCTGTAAAATGAAAAGTCCCAGTTTGACTTGAACGCCCCTCGTATACTGTAGGTGTAAATATGAGAAAAATCATTGCCATTTTGCAATTTAATGTTATTACAAATTGCATTCCGTTCGTGATTGACGTTGGATCTACTTCGGGGGACATTCTTTTATTTTCCTTCTATTAATAAAGGACTTGTCAAAGAATGTCTCCTGTCTTTTTGCACACTACAGCTTTTTTTTCTTTGTGAATGGGTAGTAGTTCCATGTACTGCATACTCATTCACATGGGGGGGGCGGGATCTGGGGGCTCCCTTGGTAAAGGGGGCTTCTAGATTCTGATAAGCCCCCGCCTGCAGACCCCCACAACCACAGCCCAGGGTTGTGGGGGAGAGGCCCTTGTCCCCATCAACATGGGGACAAGTGGCTTGGGGGGAGGGAGCGCCCCTACCCCAAAGCCCCCCGCCATGTTGAGGACATGTGGCCTGGTATGGTTCGGGGGGGGGGAGGCGCTTGCTTATCTTCCGGGCTCCATGCTCGGATAAGGGTCTGGTATGGATTTTGTGTGGGGGGGGGGGGCCACTCCATTTTTTTTTTTTTTTTTTTTTTTTTTTTTTTAATTTTGGCATGGGACTCCCTCTCAAAATCCATACCAGACCCAAAAGGCTTGGTATGGATGGGAGGGGGGACCCCCACGCTGTTTCTTTTATAATTTTTTAATTGCTGGCAGTTTTTTTCTTTTACATTCTGCTGTCAGTGGGAACCCTGCTGACAGCTGAAATATTAATGCATTCTTTTCACTACTAAAATACCACGACTTGATAAAATAACTCATGCGGTATTTTAGTAGCCTTTTTTAGTGGATTCAAATGTTTTTTTTTTAAATGCTATGCGGTATCCTACCGCATATTCGGATGTGGTAAGATACCGCTTAGTTAATTGTACCCTGGATATGGACCAGCCAAAAACCGTGTCTAAACGCAAATGCGCATAAACGTGGTTAACTGCGTTTACAAGCATTTGAAATGCTGGTAAAATCTACTCCTGAACGTGATTTTGTTGCGTTCAAGAAAAGGACTGTAAACTCAACTATGTACATGGACACATAGGAAAACATAAAGGAGAGTTCAGGGGCTGCTAAAAATATGCTCAACAGCAATGAGCCCTAATTTTGTCCATCAGAGGATGAAATGCACAAAAGGTGCCATCAGATCCATGCAGGGATGGACTGACAACTCATGGGGCGCCCGGGCATTAGGGGATCATGGGGCCCCTGCGTCCTTGCCCAAACTCAAAAAAAGCCTATGAAAAAGGTACCAGGGGCATCTCATGGGGCCCCCTACTGACCCCGGGCCCTCGGCAGTACCCAAGTTTCCAAATGGTCAGTCCGCCCCTGGGTCCATGTCAACTATATCTCAACGAATCAGAAAACTTTGATACTAGAACATCTCCACGTGCTTGTCTTAGTAAATTCCCCCCATGTGAGTAGGATCCTATGAGTAAAGAAGAATTGGGTTGGTTGGACGAATGCTCTGAAATCAAAACCAAACAAACAAATCTCTGTCTTCCCCAAAGGGCAGTTGTGCGTTGTGCAGTCATTAATCCAGCTCCTTGTTTTTAGCCCGAAGACTGAATAAACGCACCTTTTTCATTTTCATATTTTTCCCGTGGATTAACTTGTTTATGTCTAGAGAGATTTATTGCTGGGAAGAGCTAAATAATTTGGTTGTAATAAAGCGTGGAAAAATTATCAAGGAGTTGAGAAGAACAGAAGTTTGCTGCTTGAACATATGGCATTTTCACACATCGGCCTTTCTGAAGTTTATATATCAAAACAGCTGTGCTACTAAAATACTAACCTGCCTTTCCAGACTCCCTCCAAAAACATAGTTCTTGTAGATTTGTCTTTTACAGACCTGCGCGCTGTTCTAACCAACATTCTCATCAACATTACTTAGACTGCAACAGCCTGGCTCCCTCCAAGTGCTTCTCTGCATACGGCAGGGCGGCCATGTTGTATACTGATGAAACGTCAGCTGGTTCACCTTCGGATGGGAAAGAGGGATTGGTGTGAGCAGCTTTTTTCAGGTCGAGGACATTCTTACCCCCATCTTTTTTTTTTATTATTATTACTACTATTTTTAAAAAAAAATTATTAAACTTACTATTTGTGGCATTTGGGATATACAGTTATGAGTTTTTTTTATTTTATTGATTAGGCAAGGATTAGAATCTCTGTATGGTTTTTATGGGTCCATGTGTTCCCCCCTCCATTCCCAACACTAGCAACCAGCCAATCGTTACCCCTTTTAACTACAGGGGCAGCATCTGGGGGTTGTATGCATGTCATAGATGGTGATGCTATGCTACATGGCCGCAACTGAAATTATACCCCGTCACTTTCGATGGGGGGGGGGGGGTATCGCCTGCCAGACCTGACCCATTAAAGTGAATGGATCCATTCAGGTGAAAACACCCACCCCGTAACCAATGGGTTCAAGAGATTAAAGCAGGCAGTGAGGAAGCAATGCAATGAGGTTGATTTACTAAAACTGGAGAGTTCAAAATCTGGTGCAGCTATGCACGGTAGCCAATCAGCTTCTAACTTGACACAAAAAAAAAACAAAACTGGAAGCTGATTTGTTTCTGTGCAGATTTAGTATATCAGTCCCAATGCCAACTCACCACCTGTCAAAAACTTCCTGAAGAGCGACCCAAATGCAGATCACTCTTTAGAGAACAAAGCTAGTGTGAACAGGCCCTAAGAGAAAAAGTAACGGGAAATTAAGAATTTTACAAAGGGAGAGTAAATCTTCCAGTGGGGATACCTGTTGGCATGACAGCTGTCTGAAGGGAACTCCTTTCACTTTGTAAAGGATTTCACTGCACTGCCTGTTGTATTGTAAGGACAGGAAGTGAAATTTCCCCCATACTGTCATCAGCAAGTACTTGACTGAAAGTATCGGTACTCGTACTCGCCAATCAAAAAGGGTATCATTGCATCCCTAACCTTTTATGTAGTGAATTGTAACAGATGAGAGGCAAGAGACATACATACACCTCAAGTAAACGTGTCTTAGAATTAGTTTTCTTATTTTTAACCACTTCCAGTCCAGACACTTTCCCCCTCGTCCAGACCAATTTTCAGCTTTCAGTGCTATCATAATTTGAATGACAATTGCGCGGTCATGCAACACTACCCATATGAATTTTTTAGCATTTTTTTGAGACAGATAAAACTTTCTTTTGGTGGTATTTATTCATCAATGGGATTTTTATTTTTCTCTTCATAAATCTTGGCCAAAATGTATTTATCCTTTTAGTAAAAAAAAAAAAACCCAAATTAGTTTCTAACTAAAAATTTATAATTTTTCAAAAAAAGTTTCACATTTTTATATTTTTTTTATATTATTATTATTTATAAACATACTGTCACCCTAGCAGTACAGTGTCAACCATAGTGACCCTGTACTACTTGCGGGGGGTGATGATTTTTTTTTCTTCTTTTTTTTTACATTGATTGCTTTTACACCCATAGAGGCTGTAAGGCTACGTTCACACTAGCCTTGTTAGCAAGCTGCAGACAGGCGTTTGGGAAGTGTTTTTACTGTTTTCCAAACGCCTCGGAAAATTCTGCACATTGCAGCACATAGTGCTGTTCAAAACGCCTCTGGTCGAGTCAGGAGGAGTTGAAGCCTCCTATTCAGGTCTATGGTGCCGCTCCGCAAATGCCCGGCTGGTGTTTGTGGTATGGTTGCAAGGCATTTGTGGAGCGTTAACACCATTCAAACGTCATTATAGGCGTTTGTGGGGCATTTTTAATGCTTGGCAAACGCAATGCGGCGTTTTTGGAGCGTTTGCGGAGCATTAAAAATGCTATGCAAACGCTGGACCAACGCTTGTCAAACGCTATATGGGCGTTTGGCAAGAGTTGGAAAAAAAGTCAAGTGTGAACGAGCCCTAAAAGCAATCATTTCTCTTTCTCTCTGGCTGCATTCCTGCAGCCATTGAGAAATACTGTGAGCTGTGATTGGTCACAGCTTGTCACATGGTACAAGGTTGTTGTGAATAGCCTTGTACCATGTGATCTCTGTGATCATTCACAGATTTCACATGTAGTAAGCAATGATGTGACAGAAGTGACATCTTTTTTACTACTTTCATGTGATCACTGATTGGCCAATCAGTGACCACATGAATCGGGACCTCACACAGAGGTCCCGTACGGCAATCGGTGTTCCGCTGTGTCCGTCCGGCCTTTTATCTACATGGGCTGGACTGGAAGTGGTTATGCCTGGTATGATGCTGGACAATTATGGGGAATGAAGCTTTTTGTTGTTCCGGTTGGTTTTTAGGAATGCTTCACCTAGTGATTTGTGGCCGCCTTCTCACAATGTTGGTTGCGTATCCAAAATGTCTGCCTCTTCCATCTCCAAGAGACAAGTAAAGATGGAGAGTAATTTCTTCCCTTCTCTTCCCGTTGGCACTAATAGAATTTTTCTCTTCTTCTGACTTGTGTGTGTCTATATAATTGTGTTGCTAAGTAACCTGAGAGTATGACAATACCCCTATAGATTGCCCACAGCTTATACTCCGATAGTTTTTTAATTGGTTCATGACACCTCAAGAAACAGCTGATAAGCCATCTTGTTACGTTATCGATCCATCTTGATGCCACAAAGCAGCCATTTTAATGGGATAGCCAGCTGGTAGCGGCTGTGGCCCCCAGAGATTTACCCATAAGAGGAGGCCTGTGTGTTAGATTTTTAACAGCTACAAACCTGGAACCTGGACAGGGAGGCAGACTCATTACCTCTGACGTGTGTTGCTCTGCTTAATAACCCTGGTCATTTTTGCCCCCAAAATATCAGGTTTGTATTTGCAGATCATTTTGGTCAATGGCTTGGAAGTTGTGTCTTGACTTGAAGTTGCTAATCTTTTTTTTTGCAGTAATATTGTAATATATATAATATTTTTTAATATATATTTTTAATATATACATTACTGCTTGGCCACTAGCTCTATGGCTGCATGCCCAGTCAGCACTCTTGCAATAGCTGATCTGAAAATATCGTAGACGGGCAAAATATAATACAATATGATCTGGAAGGCTTCTGCTAAAGCTAGCAAAATGAATGTCATTCATTGGGGACACGTTTTCCGGGGGCAACTGTCTAAAGAAGAAGTTTCCTTTAATTTGAAGACACTTCTTGTTTTGTATACAGAGCAGGAAGTCGGGCTTTTTTCCCCTATTCCAATTTGAGAAATGACCTATTCCCTACTCTTTCCAAAACTTTAAAAAAAAAAAGGACTTGCTGTTAAATAAACCCAACCCATTTCATTGCATACGGGCCGATCATTTCTTCGATTCCTCACGATCAGCCCGATGCCAAGGCCCTGAAATCCAATCTCCTTCCCTCCATTGCAATCTGTGATCCAAATAACATGCTGCACACCACAGACATTCAACTCTAGCCAAGGATTATTGCAGTGATCGAACAGCGATCACCCCCACGCAAAGCCTGGCCCCCAACATGTTTCACCCACAGCAGTTCTTTAATCATGGGGATAGTGGCTACTGAAGGGGAAGAGGTTTAAATACATTGAGCGAAGAATCGGTCACAACAATACTCCATCCTAAAACTAACCCTTAAGAACATTCAAGGATTCACTGGAGTAGTATCTTAATAATCTGCAAGAAAATCACTGATTTGGAAGCATACATGACATGTAATCGCTATGGTTGGCCAGTTGTACATGGATGTACAATCGAAGAAATGGTCGGCCCGTATGCAGTGAAATGGGTTGGGTTTATTTAACAGCAAGTCCTTTTTTTTTAAAGTTTTGGAAAGAGTAGGGAATTGGAACATGGATGTTCATCCTTTTAAATCTGTTTAGGGCTGCAAACTTGTTGTTTTCAGTCCATTGAATCTAGAATTAAATGGATGCCCATGGGTTTAAATCCGGTTGCCCATTGGGGTACATTGCAGTCTGTTTTTGATCGTTTAATCACAGGTCAAAAACAATCAAAAGTAAAGCCCACGTGAAAGGTGCCTTACATCAAAAACTGCCTGATGCAACCATCAGTCCCTCCCCTCATGCCAGGGTATTAGGTGTAATCCTAGACTCCTGTCTGTCCTTTCAGCCCCAAATCCAATCGCTGTCCAAATCTTGTAGACTTCACCTACGTAACATCTCCAAGATACGGCCGTTCTTAACCTCAGAAACTACTAAGAAACCTATTCACTCCCTGGTTATCTCTCGTCTTGACTATTGTAACTCTCTCCTCATTGGTCTACCTCATCGCAGGCTATCCCCTCTTCTGTCTATCATGAATGCTGCTGCCAGGCTCATCAACCTTACTAACCGTAACGTATCTTCCACGCCTCTCTGCCAATCCCTCCACTGGCCTCCATTCAGTGTCCTCCTGTCAAGGTCCTACCTTTCCTCAGGGCTTGTGCTGCTCCATGTGCTGGCATCCATCTTAGGTGTCTGCAAAGCATTGTGGGATCCTTTATGCTTTCAGCCCTCTGCGGCTCCTCCCCCAGGAGGTGGCGGCTTATCACATATAAGTCTGCTGTTTGTAGCTGTCCATTGCATTCGTGTCCTGTCTGTTGCACAGCAACAAGCTCCTGTTTAGTTTCTCATTGCTCTCCTGGATACCGACTCTGCTTTGGCAAGACTCCTTCCTGGCTTCTGACCCCGGCTCTGGCGACCATCCTTCCTGGCTTCTGACCCCGGCTCTGGCGACCATCCTTCCTGGCTTCTGACCCCGGCTCTGGCGACCATCCTTCCTGGCTTCTGACCCCGGCTCTGGCGACCATCCTTCCTGGCTTCTGACCCCGGCTCTGGCGACCATCCTTCCTGGCTTCTGACCCCGGCTCTGGCGACCATCCTTCCTGGCTTCTGACCCCGGCTCTGGCGACCATCCTTCCTGGCTACTGTTCTACCAAGTCATCCGCTGTTGCTGTTGGACTTGCATAGACTCTGTTTTGTTTTTGTATAATAAACCTACCTTTAAGTGCACCTCCTTGTGTGTCTGGCTCCTCGTTCCCTGACACCTCCACCCCTCTCTGCCAATCCCTCCACTGGCATCCCATTGCCCAATGTTTAAAATTCAAAACATGAACAATAACATATAAAGCCATTTATAACTCTGCCCCAAATTACATCACCAATCTTGTCTCCAAATATCACCCAAAGCGTACTCTCCGCTCCTCACACAACCTCCTGCTCTCTAGCTCCCCTTGTCTCCTCCTCCCATACTCGTCTCCAGGACTTCTCCAGAGCTTCCCCCATCCTCCTGGAACTCTCTACCTCAATTTATCAGACTATTGCCTATTCTGCTCACTTTTAGGCGATCTCTGAAAACCTATCTCTTCAGGGAAGCCTATCCTGCTCTCAGCTAATAATGGAATCTTCTACTCTTCCTACCAGTCCATCCCCCACAGTTACTACCTTTTGTACCACTAGCCCCTCCCTTCTAGAATGCAAGCTCCAAGGAGCAGGGCCCTCCTATCCCTCTTGTCTTGAACTGTATTGTTGCTGTATTGTCTCCCGTTATATTGTAAAGCGTTGAGCAAACTGTTGCTGATATATAAATCTAGTATAATAATGCTGTAATGCAGCCAATTGTTCTCGTTCAGCTGTTCTCAGAGGCCAAAGGAGAAAACAAAACTACTTCTCTGAAATAATTGGACGAAAAATATGGAAACTATCACCCCCTACTATGCCATCTTGAGTTTTGATATCTTCTGTTTTGACAGTCCTTAAACCTTTTCTTTTTTTTTTTTTTTTCTCCTGAACTGTTTATTGGGCTGCACCTTGAGTGTAACAGCCCTTTAAGGTAGCTCTTCTTGTTCCTTAATGTAGTAAGAAGCTGCAATGTCCTAGGCATTAATAATGGTTAAGTTCAATTATGGTTGTAAAACCAGTGGCCCGTGCAGACCTCGGCCTATCGGTATCTCTGTAGTACAGCACAATTATTTTTAATAGGAGCTGGCTATCTTTGATCAGCTTTAACGATTCAGTCTATCTCTACCTCTGTTTTAAAACACCCTCTCAATCTAGAAATGTCTGCAATACAGAAACAGATGGAAGAAAAAAATTTACATACGTTTGTAAAACTCTGACCTGGACAAAAATGTCAGCATACTCTCCAAAAACCAGGTTTTGTATCCTTTTGATTTTTTTTTTTCTTTTGTAGATGTAATCTTTTGCAGCACTTGTACTGTGTTGGGAACAGAAGTGTTTATCAGGTTTGTGCATTTTCTATGTGGTGGTTGTACAGTTCATAAAAGTAGAATGCAGTCTTAGATGACCAATGTGTCCTGAACCTGGTAATGTTTTTTGAGTTTTGATTTCACTGCTCCAATTTTTCCTCCTTCACTAGACATCTTGTAAACTGGTACACCAATTCAGGACACTCTCCAATCTTTTCTTTTTTTTTGTCTTTGAAGGCGTTTCATTGGTCCCCTGAAATGTGTTGGCTTTTTTTATGTTTTTTTTGTTTTGTTTTTAAGGGGACTGCTTCATGATATTTTTATAAACTATAAAGATCAAATTTGAATTATCCCTTTTCCAGCTATTAATTTTTGTGGTGCATATAGGTTCACGTTTAAGAAGGACACCCATTTCAGAGGGCTTCCTTTCATGGAAACAGCCTTAGCCTACAGAAATAAGACCAACATGTCAAAGAATTCCTTTGAACCTCAAAATATCTCAAATCCAGTAGCATCGCAATCTTCATAAAAAAAACATTACTGGGTTCAAGGCCATGTAACAATGGCTTTGGTAATGGAGAGTCAACTTGTAATTTTCCTTCTTATGTGGGAGCAGCCATATTTGCTTATTTAATATGCTATATATTACAGCTTAGCGATGTGACATTAGCTTCTTATCATAATGAAGGTCTATAAAACTCCATTGAAAATAGAGATGTCACAATGGAAAACCCTTTCAGCTCAGTTGACCTATTGTGAAACACATTACCCTTTACAGCCAACTCCATTTTCTCCTAACAGTCTATCAGGAAAAAGAGGCCACACCTACATATATTATTATACAGGATTTATATAGCGCCAACAGTTTGCTCAACACTTTACAATATAACGAGAGACAATACAGCAACAATACAGTTCAATACAAGAGGGATAGGAGGGCTGTATATAATATATACATATAACATAAAACTTATATTAATATAAAAAAAATGGAA